CAGACATGCTTGGCTTAGGATTTAGTGATAAACCAGTGAGTAATTTATGAATGATTATATTTACAAGTCTGTCAATATATTCAATATACTGTTATACTCCAACTGTATAGAGAAAGCCCCTGTAAGCAGGTAAGCATACACTCGGTCGTGATCTCACACACACTCAAATACTATGTACTTTTTAATCTCCCATAAGGGGACATCCTTCCTAAGCAGACACTTTGTCACATTCTCAGACTTGGTACATACAGACACTACTCCAACAGTGCTACTATAAGTAGACACTTTTTCTGGTACCGGTAGTACTCACAGTTGCAGTGCCAAAATTTTATTTGACCCCTAGAGTATTAGCACTCAAATAGGAAATGACAGCATTTATTATTATTATTATTATTATTATTATTATTATTATTATCATTATCATTATCATTATTATGACTATGACTATGACTATGACTATGACTATGACTATGACTATGACTATTATTATTACTATTACTATTACTGTTATTAGTATTAGTGTTAGTATTAGTATTAGTATTAGTATTAGTAGTATTATTTCTTCGAGTGCACGATAAAAGATACTTTGATGGCTAAAACTAGTCTTTGGCATTTTGTCTTGAACACCCTGTTTGTGAGACTAAAATCCTTGATTTACACCCCTAAGCGAGACAATGAACATCCCTGACCTTTTTATATTTATGGGAGTCCTTCCCACCCCTGGTTTGTCTGTAGACTTTCAAGATGTTTGTTCACGGTTACAGATCAGAAATTAATCGTAAATCAATTTGTTCTATCAAGCGTGAAAGAGAATACACAGTGATGGAACAGGCTTCATTACAGGAAGAATTTCTACAACTGTACTGAAGTAGCATAGCAGTGTGCCCTTGCTAACAGAATGACTGCCGCTTCTTGGCGTTTTTGAAGAGTCTGTGAAGAAGATTTAGATACAGTTTTGAATGATTACCGGCAGTAGATTTATACTAAAACAATTAGATTATTCGTTCTCGATTTCTATGTGTGATAGTTGACTCGGGCTGGGTCCTCGTCAACTATCGCAGGGTAGAAATCTCAAGCTCAAATTCTAATTACTGAATAGAAACATGAGTGGAAGTTTGGGAGAATGAGAAATGCTGTGGGGACACAAGTCGACAGGCGGGCTTTACTACAGCTCTTTCCAGTTCATCCAAACTTTCCAGAGTGTTTCTACAACTCAGGAGCAGCTTGGTGAAAATGTTTTCAATCTTTTTTTAGAAAACAGCCCAAAGAAAATAACAAGCAATGTAACTAATTTTTAACCAATCAGTGATTATATTTTCTTTGGGCTATTTTCTAATTGTTTTTACAAAATACTGATTTATTAAGTCATTCAACATTTTGCTGTTCTATCATCCTTTAGATATGAAGACAGAAAAAGCAAACAACAGGATCCAACAGATTACACCAAAATAGAGTCGTTGTGCTTAACTAATGGAGGTACGTGTATAATCACTGAATAAAACAAATATATCATTAAATAACCTTTGTTAATAAGGTGGCTTTTTTCAATATTATAAGTCAGTAACAGTACATATTTAAAGGGTCAACTAGGTGTAATTTGTATTTCAAAAAACTGACTGTGCTAGTAACTTTGTCGTGTAGCCCATTTATAAGCTGGGAGTAATTTCCACTCATTCTGGGTTGCTGTTGTTGAGGATGCTTGTCCTGTTGGACATCGTTCATTCAGACACTGCATTGATCTAGCAGTACGAGTTAGTGTCTTTAAGAAAAGGCAATTATTAATAAGTCAAACAGTTTCTCTTGCTTAACCTTGAAATAATAATGGCTACCAGGAAATTCTCTTTTAATTAGCAGTGATTGTCTTTCAAAACGGTATCTTAATCAGATCATTTGTATGCCAGTCCTGGTTTAAGCCTGCATGAGTTTGGTGCATATTGTGGTCTTCCATTGAGCAAGACATTTTTAGTCTGACTCATTATTGTATGGTGTTAAAAGTCTCTTCACTCTGATGGAATGTTGGGTAAATGGAAGAAGTATCTGGGCTTGAAAAAAGTGCCATCCGGTTGTTCGGGACAAGAAGATTTTCCTGCTGGGCAAGTAACTTTTCATTCCCACTTGCCTGCTGGGCAAGTGATCAGGCAAGCTGTTAGTCTGCCAACTAAATCATTAAAAGAGGAAACTATGACTTCCCCAGGACAAGCAGAATTTGAGAGCTACTTATCCCAAAGCTGGAATTCAATTTTTATTTTTTGAGCCCTGAGTGTAATTACCCGCTATAGGAGTTCATGCCTGCAATGGGCGAGCATCCCATCTAGGGAGATCCAGAGTCACACAGTTAACCTAGTCACTTTTTTATGCTGCATAAACCAGAGTTAAGACTAAGAAATGCAGCTGCGACTTGGTACTTCTAATCCCTTGACAAGTTATTGTTTAGAACTGCTCTGGCCTGCCATGGTAGGTGTACATAAATTATTTAACAAATAAAGAAACCTAAGCCGTGTATTACACTGTGGTAAAACATGACAGGCATTTGAGAACACAAGGGAAATGTAGAAAACATGAGCCGCAAGCAAGTGTCTTCTACATTTCTCGAGTGTTCTCAGATGTTTGGAATGTTTTATCACAGTGTAATACATGGCTTAGGCTTCTTCATTTGCTCTATGATATAGAGGTAATGCAGCGAAAAACAATGAAACACACTTTTTTATGTTTTACACTCTGATAAACATGGGTTTTTGACCAATCAGAGCACATGCAGGGTCCTATCAGTATTATAAATCATTAAGTTATAATAATATCAACACCTTTTTATAATCCTTCATTACTACTGACAGGTATTTTTCCAGACACACACTTTCCAAAAGTAATTCAAAAGGTTGGTCTTTTTTATTACAGAACTGCAAGTATTTCAACGTGACTTAGTTTGTAGCCAAGGCTTTATTGTGAAGTTTTGAAGTAGCTGTCTACAAAATGAAACTAACTGAAGATGGCACTCTTGATGATTTCAAGATCAGTGTCTTTTTAATTTAATTCCTCAGTGGAGATATCATTTGGTAATTTTTATACTCTGAGGGCTTCTTCATATGAGCCTAGTAACTGGGCTGGCTCAGTTACTGAGACAAATTTTGTTGTTTCTTCATATGGGAAATTTTAACCCAGTAGACCAGGATGAAATTCAAGAAACAAAACCAAAATGATGCAACGTAAACTTGTATCATTTGCGACTATTGTAGTGTAGCTTTGTGGACTCTTAGAACTTTACTAATAAAGGTAATTTGCATACTTCTGTAGTGGAAATACATACAAGATGAAAATTATGTCATTTTGGCCGCTATGTTGTGAAAGCGAAGCTATTTTGTCAAAAAAAAAAATCATCCTGGGTACCTGGACTGGAGTGTCTGTGCATTCATTTTCATTCCGGTTGCCGGGATGTTGGTCCCAAAAACCAAGATCTCGGTATAACTGTGCCAGCATAGCTTCTCATATGAACACATCAGAGCTTTTACTAAGGAAAGAGTGGCAAGATGAGCCAGCCAACTAAGCCAGCCTGTTTGACCAGGCTCATATGAAGACGCCCTGAGTTGCTATGTGACAATCGTCACTGTAGTTGCTGGTTATAGTACATAGTTGCAAGCTTCCAGTGACACTGAGCCCAGAGCTAGCTGTGAGTTGTAATGCATACATGTATACAAACTACATGTAACTGTTTTAAGACTAGATACTTTTGTTACATAATTTGTTTTTAATTTAATTTAATAAAAATGTTTCTTCTTGCTGTTCAGTTTGAAATTTTATGTCATTTTACTTTGTATTATGATAGTTGGCATTAAATGCCTGGCTCGGACCTCTCATTGCAAGACTGACAAGTTATCCTGTGTTTGCTAGAAGGTAGAAGAAAATGCTCTCTCCATGAAGTAAAACTTTACAATGTTACGCTGTAATTGATAATTACATACATGTACTGTTAGAGATCTGAAGTCAAATGCTTTTGCATCTCCAAAATTTTCCAAATATATTATAGCCATTTTGTTGCATGGCCATTTGTTTATCTTCCATTGGTTGTTGGTTGACAGCTTTTGGCTGTTTACAAGTTGGCCATGCCAATAGTTGGTTGCCAACATTTGGCTGGCAGTTTTTCTGATTTTCTGCTACAAATAGAATTGTCAGCTGACAGTCAGTGAACTGTCGGCAATTTGTCAGCAATCTGTCTATAACATGTCAATAAATTGTCAATTAAAAATATGATCATTTTAGCATTTTCTTATTTATATGGCTTTGACATTGGCATGGGAAGGAAAAGTTCTTTTGGAAGGGACCAAGTATACACACTGTATGACAAGACAAAGTGGAGGCGTGGTGGCCTCATGGTTAGTGCGCTCGTCCCCAGATCGAACGGTCCGGGTTCGACCCCTGGCCAGGGACACTGTGTTGTGTTCTTGGGCAAGACACTTGACTCTCACAGTGCCTCTCTCCACCCAGGAGTATAAATGGGTACCGGCAAATTGTTGGGAAACCTAACAAATTGCGGGGGAGTCACCTGTGATGGACTAGCATCCGGTCCAGGGGGAGTAGAAATACTCCTAGCCGCTTCATGCTACAGAAACCGAGATATGCTCTGGTAGTTATGAGCCATTCGGCTCCAAGGCTTCACTTTTTTACAACAAGACAAAGGTGTTGACTTGAGCATGATAGGAAGATTAAGTTTTACGTTTTAAATTCTCTTAATTTGTTTGTAGTCTTGCCTCAGTATTTGGTCCTCACACGAGACCCCCAAGGGAAGAGTTACAAGACTTTTGGACCATTATGAGACATAAAGATGGTTATCTTGTGGCACCAAGGTGAGTTATAATACATTAACAGCTGTTTTTGTGCAGGAGCACAACATATATGAGTACATATATAAGTACTGGTTAGGAGAGTTTATGTGGAAGGTGTACACTTCATTAAACATACATGAAGGAGCTGGATCTTTCCTTAAGTTTGCCTTTCAATTGTGTTTCTGCTTTGCCAGTGTCCTCCTGCATGCATGTTGCTGATGGACAAGAACACACACAAAGTTTGAAAAAGAAATTGTTATTACAGTGGAAGCACTCTTAACGGACACTCATAAGTGGACAGCTCTACTAATGACCGCCTTCACAAAATCCTGTTTGAACTCTCTTATAAACTCTGTATTTACTCATTCCCCTAAGTGGACATTCTCTTAAGTGGCCTTGGACACTTGGAGGGCTTACGATCTAGACTTTTGCTTTGTTTTAAGCTCCCGTAAATTGACACTTCAAAGGAATTGGGCCTGACTTTGAAAGATACCTACGAATATTTGTAAACTGTAATTTACTGCTTTTTTGTTGCAGTGAGACTGTTAATTGTTATGTTAATGATGGCTTTATTCACTAAGGGCCGGTCCTGGTACTACAATATACAGTTCTAACTGTATACATGTCGTTATCGCCATTATCATGGCATTGCACAAAGCAATAAAGCCAAAAAAAAATTACTAATTATTGGTGGTATTTTTGTATTCCCAATATATATTGTGAGCTGGGCAAGGTCCCGTAGGCAGCCATCTTTCCGTTACAACTCTAGCGGCCGCTTACATATATGAAAACTATTCTTGTAAGCGGCCAGCTCCAGTTACTGACAGCTTTTTCTCATCCCATGGGTGTCCCTTTACGAGGGCTTCCACTGTATAAAAGAATGAAAAGAAAATCATAAATTTAAAAAACTCTAAAACTGATCAAGATGCCCCGAACACTACGCACAGTAAAAACTACGACCACATGTAAAGGTACATGGATAATTTGCAACAATAAACTGCTGACCCACGGGCACAGGAAACTGCTCCACACCAGGCCTACTACAGTAACGCAAACCTTAGCAACAAAACAAACGCCACATCATGCCACCAAAAACGCTAATAAACGTCAACACCATGCCGCCGCGCCAATTACTGAGCAACATGCTCCTTGTCGTTAACTAAAAGTTAAATAAGTATATTTAACCTCATAATGGGAAAACAAGAAAAAGATGCTTGATGTTTAACAGTTTGCTAGAACTGTTTTCTACAGAAGATTTTGATAATCTAGAACCATAGGCCTGCAATGTGTACAACACATGTCAAATACTTTATCCATAGCTCTCTATGCACAGGAAATTATGTGCCTATAAAACAAAGTATTATTAATTTTATGAACAAAATTGTTCTCTAATCAGTACCCACAGCATACAAGAAATATATTGTATCTTTGAAACACTTGGACCTTAGTCAGTTTACTACATGTGCAGTACAAACAAATAATTTTTGTTGAAGAGGAAGTAAACAAGACAACAGCATGTTGGTGTCAATAAGTCTACACAGAGGATAGGTCAATTTACTTGCCTGGTGTGTTTGCTATTAATAAAATACATTTTTTCATGGCCAAAAAGCATGTTCACTGGTGTATCATTTCAATCTGTTTTCAGCATTCTGTGGGCTTGTTATTAATAAAATACATTTTTTCATGGCCAAAAAGCATGTTCACTGGTGTATCATTTCAATCTGTTTTCAGCATTCTGTGGGCTTGTTATTAATAAAATACATTTTTTCATGGCCAAAAAGCATGTTCAGTGGTGTATCATTTCAATCTGTTTTCAGCATTCTGCAGTATATAAATCAACGGTATGAACACAGAGGAAGATGGGTTGGCATCATGCAAACAACCACAGTGCCAGGTAACTGCAAAGTCATGTCATCTCTGTAATGTGCTGACATCTACCTGTACATCCACCTTGCAGGAGGTCACTGGAAATTCTAAGGGAGTTGGGGAGAGGTCTGAAAAAACAGGCAAAAAGTAGAATTGAGTGGGGTTGGGGAGGTGGGTCAGAACAGGAAACTGGCCAGTTCCATGGGGATCAAGGGGGTAGATGTTTTCTGGAGCCCAGACACAATCTTTATTGAAATTTTTCAAAAATATTAAATATGCATGCATTTTTAAAATTTAATTCTGAGAATCAATTTTTTATTAGTGGTTCATGAAGGTAACTTCCCCTAGTTGAAGATGGTGTTTAACATTTATTTAATAAAGGAATCTTTATTTAGAGTGGGTGGCACATAACTGATGACAGTCAGATATAAATGAGTGCCCCTTAATGTTGGAAATTAAAAGGTGAAAGACATTTAAGTATAGAATTATAATACTCTTGGCTGGAAAAATGTCTCACTAAAAAGAGAGAAATATGTATGCATGAGCTGAGCAATAAATGAATTATACTAATAATAAATGGGTAAAATATATTCTTAGTTCATAAAATATATTCTTGTTATTAAAATCTGACTATTTGCCAGCCTATTGAATCAGAGATATAATTTGTTAAGTAAATATTTGTCCTTTTTTTTTAATTTCTCCTTGTTCTTATTTCAGTGCATTTTATTTATGGACCTGCAGATCCCATTAATCCTCCTCAAACACTCACTAAGTACAGGTGATTTAATTAAAATAAACATCTTATTTTGTTCTTCATATAGTAGATCAATTTCAATATATTAAAATTCCACTGAAACAATACACCTCAGCATGAGGCTCCGGAAAATAACTACAGAGTTTGTGGGGTTTATTCCCCAGAGCCTCATGCTGAGGTCTATTGTTTTTAGGCTGAATTTTAATAATTGAAATTGGGCTATTCACTTAATATCTGTTTAGCCATGCATATGTTGCAATTGGATGACTGATGCTCCCCTTAGATGTGAGGATGACAAACATCTTATATATTAACCATGCAAGCAGAACAGATTGAAATTTACCAAGATTTGTGATGCAAACATGTATAATGACATTGCTCTCCTCATCAGGCCTTTTGTTATGGGACATTCGCATTGCTGTCTTAGGGTGAAGGTTAGCATTTGGATTAGTTTGGTTATTCCTTAATGCTGTGCCATGCATGGGTTAAGAATGGCCAAATTTATATACTGGGCAGAATTATTCATTTGAGAAGGGTTATTCATCTGCCCAAGATGGATAAATCCTCTACTAAGGAATAAATCTAGATGAATAAATTATGAGGCCAAATTCATCTTCAGCTGATTTATCTGTCAGCACATCTTGAAGAAAATGCAGATGAACACCAGATTTATACTTAGAACTTAGGACAATTTATCCATCTCAGGCAGATATAATTTGTTTCAGGCAGAAATAAATCGTCTCAGATGGATAAACTTGACATCCTAAATAAATATAAATTTTGTGTTGGATGACTTGTCTGTAGCATAAATTTGGCCTTGGAATGAGTTCTCAAAGATCATTTCAAGTTATTCATTTCTCAATTTATCAACAGGGAATTAGTTGTTAAAGGCACATACAAATCTTTATC